CTTTCAGTGCGCTTTTGGAGTCTCGAAAAGGGAGGGGAGTTGCCAAGAACGGGGTTTGACTAAATGTGGAACGAAGAAGGTAGTTTGCGGTGCGCTAGAGTGTGGTTTAGCATGTCCAGTCGCCAGCACCTGGGCCAAACGGAGAGGGTCCAGAGGTCGAGAACCGTATCAGAGCGTTGTAAATCCGTCCTTTCATGTGTTGTGCGGGCATACAGCTTCCCGGTTGCCCAGGCCGAGGAAGGGGTTAGCTTAGGTGGCCCCACTCAGAGTCTTCGGTCATAAGGACCTGACTCGCAAGGCAGCTGGGCGAATTCAGAGACTAGCGCCCATTGGGAACCGGTCACTGCTCTCTCGGTTCATGCGCTTTTCTTTTGGCGGGCTACCACATTGGGGTTAAACATTCCCAACAATTCAGCGTCCAGCTGAGGGATTGCAATACTCCGGCGATGCAAAGCAATGGATAATGACCTTATTTAGTGACGAGTCACATCCTCTACGTCGTAGTGTTGTTAACCGGACATAGTTGGCTTTTTGTAGGATGAACGCTTGTCAGGCGAAAACTCACCACGTCCTGGAACACTACCGCCGAACATTTTGCTGGAACGTGTAGATCCCGGACCATGTAGTTGGCACCACGAGTAGGTAGTTCGGAATACTGCCAGCGAGTACTGCTTGGTGTGCGCACGTGCAGCATTGGCCTTAGCATCGGGAGGTGACCCAGATACCATCTTCGGTGCGTCACTATGAGGTCCAGTCGAAACCTACGGCACCACAGGGTCCACAACCCTAGTCGTTTGCATGGGTCCCTGTACAACATACACCTTAAATTTGGGTGCCTCTGGTAACTACATGCCGCTCCAGTTTCCGCACCTCGCCACGGGTGATCAGACAATAGGCAGGTGATCCGTACTCGATCATCGGTCTTATGATGGAAGAGAAGAGGCGCCTGACAATCTCTTCAGACCAAATGCGGAAGCTGCGTTTGAGCGCCCAAAGCACGCACAGTCTGTTTCCATACAGCTTATTTCTGTTATCTACGAACTTCAAATCACAGCGCGAGAGTACGCCGAGATCCTTCACGGAAAATGTGGGATGTAGCGACTGGCTGACCAGAGTGTACGTTCACCCATCATCACCCTTTCCCTGGCTCACATATAACAATTTGACTGGGTTGACCGGCAAATCGACCTCAGCATACCACATGGACAGGTGGTCGACATCATGCTGAAGTACGTTGCAGTCGTCATGAACATCACTTACTCTCCAAATCTTCAGGTCGTCTGTGAACAAGACGCAAGGCAACCGAAGAAGCTGAGGTACTTCGTTGATGTGTGTTAGGAGCAGTGTGGGCCCCAGCACTGTGCCTTGGCTACCCAACTAGTGTAGGGACACCGTTGGATGGGATTGTCTCAAGTGTGCTATGGAGAATACTATTGTCGCCTGCTGTATGCACTACTTGAGAAGTCAGAACTGTGAATGAATCTCTGGCCCATCGATTAGTTTGATCAACGCACGTAAACAGTTTTCGTTGGTACTGAGTTTCAGCATGTTTGTAACATCCTGAAACGACGACTGACTAAGTGTCTTATAATTGACTGAAAACCTTGGTGGGTGGCAAGTGTTAGATAAACAAATCCAGTGCTATTGGGAACAGCCGAGCGCTGTTTCATCTCATCCGGAACGCGAATTAAAGATAGCTCTCGATTAGTGGGAAAGTAGCTGAGACAGATGAAGTTAATCCATTCTCGATCGCATCCACTAGATCGTTGAGGGAAACATTTTGATGAGCAGTCCTGTAGGCTTGCTGCGACACTGCCGTTTGCTGAATCACCTGAGCCGATGTGGGGAGTTGATATTACGCCCCCCACTTCAGAAGACATTTGGAATTAGTTTGCCATGTTGAAACAAAACAACGCTCATGGACTTGACTGTGATGGTGGCTGAGGCTGGGGGCGGATGGAGTCGATGCGATACCGATGGACTGGGGGTCAATCAGGCGAAAGCCGAGCACCCACAACTGACCCGGTCCGGCGCAATGGAGAAATAGCAAGCCTTCGGTAAAGCGGTTCGGTCGTCCGTACGGCGAATGGATGGCATACATCTGCCACTATGGTAACAACGCGCGCAGCTGTGGCAGATGGTCAACCGAGGAAGCGTCAGCCGATTAGACGGATGACCAATCAGACGCTAGGCGTGAGAACTGATCACGCGGTGCGAACCCGGCCAAGTGCACTGGAGAAACAGCACATTTATGGAAAGCGGAGAAGTGTATTTGTCGGCCTTACGGCGAGTGGATGGTATACACCTGAAACCATGATAGCAACACACGTAGCTGTGACAAGTAGTCAATCATGAGATCATCGACTAACTTTGCGGACGGACAACCAGACGCCACCGTGCAGTCTATCCGTGATGGAAACAATGAGGCTCAGTGTAAGCATGAGCTCAATAAGCGTGGATCGGCACCTATAGAGAACAAACACACACTAATAGGATGTAACTGACGTTATAGGCAAGTTAACGAGGGCCAGCCAGTGAACGAACAACATCAGAACACTGTATGTACTCTATGATTAACCGCGATTTGTGATCGCCGCCCAAACTTTCTACTTGTTTCTCGGAGATCAGCACGACGCCGGTAACTTTCCTCCATTTTTGCTGAAATCTGCTAACTGTTGGCTGGACTTGCTGCTCTATTCAACACAACTGGGATACTGATGAGGTGCCTTCGGACTGGTGACTACCAACTGTTTGCCCGTCTTCAGAAAGTGTTAACGAACTTTGTGCGAAAACCACATAGGCATTAGCCTTATTTCCATTGCCTCCAAACTCCTCACGGGTGTCATTCCTCGAAGGCTTACTGGTACTCGTGAGAGCCAAATCATTGATAGCGATGCTGGCCTCCGTCCTGATCGCTGTTGTATCAACCGCATATTTACTTTTCTTCAAGTTTTAGAACGGAGTTACGCCTATTGACAACCGACTATGGTGGTTTATCTTGACTTTAAAGCCGCTTTCGACTCTGTTGATTGAGCCAACTAGTGGTACTGCCCATTTATGGAGAGAGTGTCTGGTAAACTTCTTTCCACTCTGAGGTCTTTACCCTGACTCACGATGGTCTACAGGAAGCTGTCTACCGGGTTCCCACGATAATGGAGTCTGCCAAGGTTGTCCTACATCCCCTTTCTCCTCAACTTCGTGACTTATGTGATCAGGCATTACTCCGTTCTTTCAGGATATTCCGGGGTGGAACCTCCGTCATGTGACAGACTGACAAACTTCGTTGGTTCTGACGCATTGGCTATGTAAGCACTATTAACTGGCCGGTGCGTTGCGCTTCACGCTTCGGTATGTGCTTTGCGCCCTCCAAGTACTGTTGCAGGACTGGACCCACACACCACCGATTTTAGCTATCATCGAGCATCCCCCGTGTGTGATGGATCGTTTCACTTACTTTGATAATTATGTCACCACTGGTGGTCACTTCACTGAGGAAGTTACTTCGCGTGTTTCAGCATAGTCTGTGCGGCCTTTCATAGACTCAACCACTTATGGTGACGGCTGGATATCAGCTTCTCAATGTAAAGTAAAGTGTGTAACGCTGTAGTAACACCGGTGTTACTGTATGGCTCAGAGATCTGGTTAGTTCGCAGTGAAGCCATTAAACGTTTGGCTGTGTTTGATTACTGCTGCTTACGGCGTATTGTTCATATCTGATGCTTCACTCAAGTTTTTGCTGAATCCTAACCCCGTACGTTGACTACGTTATGTCCTTCGTATTCCCGTTGTCCAACTTTCTCGATGCGCATTATAGCTTGTCACTGCACCAAATTGGGTGAAACCACGAGCTGGTCAATTGATGACGTGACCTAAAGACATAAAGCAGTGAGCTCAAAGACTTGATCAGGTTGGTGCGTGCCGTCTTCGTGGAGGGGAGCCTCGGATAGTTCACACTAGTGATTGGAGACTCTATCAGACACAGCCTAGCCACGTAGTCAATGGCGCTCCTGCATGTGGTTTCTTGCATCTACTTTTTAGTTTCCATCCCATTTCGATTGCTTTTACGCCCCTTTTTATTACTCCGCTTACTTTGTATCCTTTGCTTTCAGCCTTATTTTCCAACTGTTTTTATTCTGGCGACATGAATCGTAGCAACCACATTCACCTTAGTTAGGTACTCGGATAATAGTTGTTCAATTGAATTTAGCTGAATTGAGATATACGGCTCAAAGGTATCTAACGGAATTCGTCTATGTGGAAACTGTTTATTTGCTTTATTTTAATTGGTATGGTACTTAGCTGAGTTCAAAAGACTAGCGTTAGGAACAGACCACGCTACATTTGTTGTTGAAGTTTGCACAGGCATATCGGCAAACGTGCTCCAAGGGACTTACGTAGGCGTTTGGGCCCCATAACCTTATTCCTCACCCTCATGGTAAGCACGTACTTGTCCGGTACACGGCTACTTATACCTTTGCATATATATCAACTATGCGTTCAATGCAATCTCCGTTTCAGTGATACATGTTACCTTTGTTCTCAATCTGTGTTTCGTTGAAAGCTTGTTGGCAGCACACTAGGGTACCACTTTGAATGCGATGGAAATCGTACTGGCGTCATTGTCTCGCCGATCTTTGACTACACATGATTGTATCTCATTTCCACAATGATAAACAACTTAGGTCATTCTTTCCTCCTCAGTTAAACGGTCCGATACTTCCACTTCCACAAGTCCTTATTATTTAGTCCACTAAAGGGATCTGTGAACACCCATCAGATAGTCATAAGTGCACTTTCGGGTCAACTGTTCCCCTTTGCTTTCCCCTTTTTCTTTACAACACTGTCGTCGGAATCTTTACCCCATAGTTCTTGAGATCACCGCCTAATGGCCAAATCCGATAGACTCTGCTTTGTTTCTATACATGTGGCTCACTCACCACCTGGACAGTTTGCCTCACACTCAGTTTAGTTACAAACGTTTTTTTACCTTTCCCTTACAGTTCTCTTCCTCAGCTAATGGAGCGTAAACGTTGCCTGGATATGCACACCAACATTGCGACTTGCCTCGCCAATGTAATCACGCATCGTCAACTGCATGTGTTCGCTGAAGAAGAGGACAAGCTGCTATCACGACAAGCTACTTCAGTGAGTAATCGTTGTCGTTCAGTTCCATCGCCTATGACATCTTTTATTCTAATCGTGTGATTTCGCAGTTAAACAGAACAAAAACGAGCATCACTCGTCCATGAAATGTCGCTGTCTTCGGTAGCCAGCCTCACCGAATTGATTCGGTACTGTCTCGTATTTCATTGCTCCACCAGCTTGATTGTGATTTCGGACGCAATCAATTTTCACCACTGCTCACACTGCACTGCACACTGCGCAGAATAAATTATACCCTCTCCGACACTACTTTTTATGCTTAGCTTTTCGACTTGGGTAATACATTATGATTGGTGATTACAAAGTGAACTGTGTTGCGTGGTTACAAATTGCCACAGCTACCCGTTCACTGATTTCGACCCAGAAAGCTCGGTCTGTGTCAATGGTTTAGTTCTACGTCAACATTCTTGCTCAGTTAACAGTAAACTCCCCACCTGTTAATGAGTACTTGCAATTACAACGAAACTACAGTAGTTATCCAGTGCGCACATTAACGATTATCATCCGTTTACGTTCAGCGTCTACCGCTCCATTCGAAATGATAACTCGATCTATTTAGTCTCTGAAGCGTCCCTTACCTCGAGGTACGCTAGCGAATGATTTTGATTACTGAGCGCTGTCATTTTTTGTTGATTTTATGTCTTGACTCAATCGAGTAACTTTCTCTGATCGCCTCTTAACTATGCTACCAACTTTCAAACACTCACAAATGTAAGCGTCACCGTCACTTTGTTCAATTATAAATCAGTATCTATGATTTTTTCCATCCTCGGTGTGCCAGACGATCGAATGAATCGTGATGTTTACATTACTTTTACTTGGATCTCCATGTATGGAATTCAATGGCACCACTCCCCTGACCTTTCTTCAATTTGTACGATATATCCCAAGGAAATCCGGATCCTAAAATGTCCAGCTTAGCGTTTGAAAGGTTGTACTTTGTTAGTCTCTGAGTCATGCATCTCAAAAATATGGAGCTATTTCCAAGAGCTCTTTATCTTGGGATCCTGTGAGTCGATAGTCACCTGGTGACTGGTTGTCGCTAATTTCTGCGTTGACTGTGGTCACTCGCATTTCCGTGTGTGTGTGTGTGTGTGTGTGTGTGTGTGTGCCGTGGATACGAGTTAGACTCTGTTCTTTCCGTTACCATTGGTACTTAGACCCTCCAGCTGAGGCTGGCTGAAACCCAAAAGTATTTCGTTATTCAACATTTTGGAATAAACCTGGAACCGACTGTGATTTCATACTTTCAAAAAGTTTTAGAATACAAATGGACCACAACACAAGCCTATGTAGAACCGAGTTGTATTCTAAAACTGATAATTATAGTATTATGTGATGTTCGTAGTTGTGGTCTGCATAATAATCTACGTGAATTAGGCTTCCAACGATATCTGCTATCTGCGAAAAAGAGATCGTTTATGCTAGTACAAGATGCTGAGGTCGCTTTCCTTCCGTCTTTATTCGACCTGTCCCATATTCTCCAACACATTTTTCTCAGTTCAGGAACTTCAATATCCTAAGGCTCTCCTCGACTCTCTGCATTCATCTTTTCGGTACTGGGTGCGCGTCTCCGTCGATTAGCTGGCCGTAGCCGACACGGCCCTATTTTGTTTACCTGAGACACCGCTAGTGAACTTTCTTGCTAGCATCCTTGTGTCCGCTTGCCGTTTGCTATAGGTGGGTGATTCGTTGGCATTATCCGAGTTCTCCATAATGTTTGCTCGATCATTTGAACTCGGAGTTTGTTTGGTGCCGCCTGTGCTCCGCTACGTCACGGAAAATTAACTTGGCGCCGCGGTTCATCTACATCCCTCGGTCACTTGGCTATGCTACTGGTACTTTTGCACATCTTTGGGGATACTCTTACCACATTGGATAATAATTGGAGGACCGACATACTATAGCTCCAAGTTCACCAGATCGGGGTTTGGAAGTAAGAAATTTATTACCAATTCTCGACACTCTGTGGTCAAACATCGTAGCCCAGTGATACTCCAGTCTGCCTGCAACCATGGTTTACACATCGGATTTCAACCTCATCCCGCACGTAAAGTCGCGAAATTATAAGGGCCATCTCATCTGCTGCGTAAAGTAATTTACAGACGAGAGTGACTTGCTGCTGACCTTTCCCTTCGTTTTTGTACGCTGGTCTTTATTGTTCCCCTCCCACTCTTTCCATAGTCTCCATACTATAGGTCAACATCCGCAGGACCGCTCAAATTTCACCACCGGGATCTGCTACCACATTTTACATCGTCTACTGTTATGAAAACCATTTGTTAGAGCACATTTCTTTCAACGTGCTATCCCAAGACAGCTAAGGCAGCGGGTTATGTTTTGCTCTCACTCTGTATGTCTTAGATCTTACTGTGTGCTGTCTCCCTAAAACCGGAGTACACGACTAACTCACGTACCACACTGACTTCACCTAACATTTACTCTCGCTATAGGCCGCCTATTCCTGGGTCACTTCTGCCATAGTCACTGGCAAATGAGTGTGGACATCGTTCTCAGCTCCAAGGCTGAACCTTCGTCGGGTGTTTTATTTCTTGTGAACAGCCGTCTGCATGCCTATGTTCCAATCATCTACAGTTATGATCCTACCACAGACGCCTTTAATTGCTGTCTTAACTCACTATCGCATACTGTCTGGATGTGATTCTTCAGGTAGATCGTTTGAACTCTTTAGCAGCTGGCTTTTTCTGACAACGTTTTGGTAGCATGAACGAAAATCCTCGATTTTCCCAACTGTGCCCCGGGGTCTCGGCATCATTGGCTTCAAGTATAATGAACACCGTTTTGCTACCTGGCAACCTGCAGCTTCTCGGTATCGGTCAACCCAAATTGTCCATACATTTCGTTCGGCTTGGTTACACCCCTAATTGCTCTTAGCTAGAATTAAATACGTCGATTTTGATTATGTCTTGGTCCGTCTTGGTTTCGGTTTGTTTCCACCGGGAATCGCATCAGGCGACCGACCCTCCTCCCGACTGACGATTGCGGAGTCATTTCATCCAGTGGTTAGACAAGCTTGCAAGGTTATCCTGAGGATTTTATTTTCTCTTTTATCTGTACGTCATTGAGTTTCGATGAAGTAAGAACTCATTTGTGATACACAGTACATATTTTTGCCGTTGACGCTATCATATTTCATTGAATCGGGCTGCTACATGCTAGAATCCTGCTCGCGCCACGTGCAATATGAGTATTGGTGTCGTTAGATGCTATCTGAAGCGGAAACTACGAGTTAACAGAGATTCTTCACATTTCGTTGAGGCTGATGGACTGGAGTAGTCATAGTTAGTGCATATGTACCACGCACTTCTCCAGTTCCATTTGTCCTGCTAGAGATCAACATGTGCGTGATGTTCAGGTTCTTGAGCCCCTGGCAGCTAGTGGCCACTCGATGGTCATGGTGAGCTTAAAGCTGCTACTGCCGTTTACTCCTTCGCTGGAACCAACCTTAAACTACTGGAAGGCGGACTTTAATGGCCTCACTCAAGCCGCGAGCCTAATGGACTGGTCGCTACCACAACATTCATCAGTCGAATCCTGTTGGTCTATCCTAACACTGAGTAAAATCATCGTGTGCTCGATTTGTGATCCTCAAATATCGGAAAGCTGGACCAGTCAAGCCACGCTGGTTTGACAAGGAGTATGGCATACTGACTCGACAGCGACGTCGCCTATGGGATGAATTCGTGCAATCTGGCTCTGCCGAAGATTACGAGGCGTACAAGAGGCAACGAAATGCCTGCAACAGTGCGACTACGAGCAAACGCTGAAGCTTCGAAGAGCAGCTTGTAACCGCAGCAAAAAAAGAGCTCCCAAGAGGATCTTTGCATACGTGAAACGACGCCTGAAGCTGACAGGTGGTGTGCCTGTGTTAGAGGGCTCGGACGGACAGTCTCTCGTTTCCAGCACTGAACGTGTTTCCGCATTAGCGGCGCACTTCGTGTCCGTTTTTGCAGATAACTAGGCGGCCGTACCGAGTTCGACACATCGCTGGACAGCCCGGATTGCAGAGTTGAGGAAGTGCGCAAATTGCTCGCCAGTTTTGACGGTACGAATCCTGCCGGGCCTGATGGGCTCCATCCGCTGATTCTCAACTCGCTATCAGCCATCATCTTGCCTTCGGTGACTGAGCTATCCAACAGATCACTGTCCGCTGGTTCATTGCCCAGCGACTAGAAATGTTCAGTGGTAAAACCAATTCCGAAAGTCGGCGCTCAGAGCAAGGTGGGCAACTATCGGCCGATATATCTGACCTCTGTTTTAGCTAAGACACTCGTTATGGTCGTGAAGCGTGGTCTTCTACAGCATCTCGAGTCGAAAAGCATCTTGACGCCTGCGCAGCATGACTTCACAAAAGGTCGGTCATGCGTCACAAACCTGCTGCTTTCGAGGCACGAATGGTTGCAAGTGCTAAACCAAGGGAAGTCGGTTGACATCATTTACATCGATTTCAGTAATGCGTTTGACAAGGTTAACCATGAAATCTTCCTTCGGAAGCTGAAGATGTGCAGTGTTGGTGGCTCACTGCACCTGTGGATCAATGACTTCTTTTTTGCTCGGACGTAGAGGGTGCAGCTAGATAGCCACTTGACCGAGTGGTATCCCTCGACCAGTGGTGTCCCGCACGGCGCAGTCCTTGGACTCATTTTGTTCCTGATCCACATCAACGATTTGCGTCAGCTTCTGTTCACCTTGCGCATTGTTTGCAGATGACCTTAAGGTATGGAGGGTGATTGAGGCGCCTGACGACTGTGACCTGCTTCTGTGTGACATTGACCACCTCTCCATGTGATCAGCAAAGGTCAATCTTCCGATCAATCCGGTCAAGTCGGTATTCATGATCCTGGGCGAAGGTGGTAATAGCCTAGTCTACAATCTGGCCGCCATCGGTGTATGATCTCGGTGTACTCTCATGCTGCGATTTGAAATCCGTTGAAAACAAAAACAGGCTTTATCAAAACGGACTACGCAAGCTCTGGGCGGTCAAACAGCTTCTGCACTTGTTCCGAAGAGGTTGCAACCCCCTATCATCAGACCAATGCTAGAGTACAGTTCACCCGCCTACTGTCCGCTCACCCGGGGCTAGGTGCAAAGAATTGAGCGGGTACAACATGTGGCCACAAGGCCATATGAAGATCGGTGCAAGAGACTAGGGTTGTACACCCTGTCTTATCGCCCAATGAGGGCTGGTCTCATCATGACGCACCGGATATTACATCTGGGTGATTATCCCATGTTGAGGCTGCTGCTTCATCTGCGCACATCAAACAGCACACGAGAACACCAGTACAAATTTGTCGTACCGGATTTGAAGCGCGTCGCTCACCAACCCTGCTTCGAGCGGAGGGTGGTGAACATTTAAAACAAACGTGCCTGCGGACATAGTCGAAGCAAAGTCGGTGTTTGGTTTAAAAAAAACTCCTAGACTCGCACTTTACCGACTTGAGATTTCGAGGATTATCACCATCATAATAGGTAGACTTTTTAAAAGATATTAGCTATAGCTACATAGAGCATCTCTACTCGCTGCATTTTCTCGGTATACAGTATTCATTTTCAGTTACTGGTTTACTTACACACTACATAGCCTTTCCGTCAAGAGATCCAGACGGATCTTCAGCCTATCCGTCATCCCTCATCCTTATGCATTCGAGTGCTAGTCAAAGGAATTTTCTTCTGTCTTGTGTTGTTTTCTGTCGCCAATTATGTGACCTTGTTCGCCAACCATTCAAGCGTCCACACGGAATTACTGTTTTCGATAATGGTTGCTTAAGGAGTTTTGCTCTTATTTGGTGGCAACATCTAGTTGATAGCAATGACGTTCGACCTCATATCTCGGGGAATGCGAATATTCCCTTCAACAAACTCGTTTTGCTGCCCCAGTTGAGATGGCTCGGTCACGTCCTACGCATGGTACCTGAGCGCCTACCGCGTCGCGCTCTATTCGCTCGTCAAGAACCAGACTGGAGGCGACCGCGGGGTGGTTAGCCTTCCACTTGGCGACAACACATGAAATCGGTGACTTCGTGTCTAGCCGCTGTTGGATCCGTACGTCTTCCAGGATGGGGACCCAAAGATGAGGAGTGCCAATGGCTTAGCACTCTTGAAGACATGGCCCGCAACCGGAATCAGTAGAAGAATCGTGTACAGAATTGCATTGATGCACATTTTTAATACTTCAAACATTGAAAATGACAAAAAAGAGAAAAATCGGCGTGTGAAAAACAAACTAAAAATGTTTTGTTCCACTTTTTGTCAAGATGTTCGTTCCTTCCTGGGGCATATTAGCTGTAGGGTGTTGCTCACGTTCAACTACTATGCCACGATGATTATAACGCGATGACTTCCCCTTATCCGCTAATCTCCACGGTTTTTGGTTGGCACTGTGTCTAGTTGCTAGACTGCTGAGATTACATACATACACCCTTATAGTATTCATTTGCTTCACTTTCAGACGGCTTCCAAAGCTTGGTCAGTTCGGCGACCAATCCACCGGGGGTCTACGGAACAGTGCCAGCCGCAGTGTGCTCAACAAGCTTGTCTCTCATGGATCTGCTATTTTCCTCACTGGCGTGCGGCATTTGATCGGTCGCAAATCAGTAGGTACCCAGTGTTTCTAGCATTATTTGGATAGGTTTTTTATAATCCCCAATAAATTTTATGCTACCATTAGCCCGCATTATGTATGCCATTGGAATTTGTCTGTCACTGTGACTATGAACAGCCACCGAACGCCTGCACTTGCAAACGGAGCATGGGCGGCATGAGCTGCACCACCCGCAGCTCTACCCATACCCCAACACTGAGAGACATATGGATGGGAGTCGCGATTAATTCGGGGCCGGCCCATACTTCTTCAGTATCGACATCTTTTATGTGACTGGGGGCAGCATGAATGCCAGACATACACAGGGCAGTGACTGGGCGGAACCCGTCCCACACTAGATGTAACCACCCTTTGAGCTGAACACTGTCCTAATGGCTGTGCACACCGTCTCCTCCAGTAACGATTAGAAGTCTCCTGGGGTCAGTAAACCGGATGGTGGTGGACCTCTTGTCGGTATTCACCTCAAACGCAGCTAAGCTTCAGGTATCAGTCAGCAAACACGGTCAAACATATGACAACACAGACGGGTACAAGTACGATTCAACGGCAGTGACTACGATACATCTGGCGCATTATTGGTCTACGTTAGCATAATTACGCTGCGATGGCTATTACACAGTCAGCCAACCCGTCCTCTCTCCTATACAGGCTCCTCGTAACCGCCTTGATGATTTACCAGACCGGCTCGGCTGAAGCACACACGGTCACATGCATGCCGTCGACTGACTGGGGTCCATCAGCACGTGACACTTGCGTAACTGGCGTCTTTATTCCTGTTGCAGTACTCCTCATTCACCCAAGGATATCATTTGTGATGTGAGCACGCCGTTGACGTTGATCCACTGTTATTACTTCCCAACACCTAAGTCAACACTAAGTCCTGATAAGCTCATCCTGATTATCTCCTTTTAACTTAGCTTCGGTTTGCTCATGTTTCGGTATCCCTGTCGAGCCCATATGACAGAAATATCCATCATCCCAAGCGTTTCCCACACCGCTCCGGCAGACCATTTCGGTGTCAGAAACTATACACATCAACATGTGCGCAAAATCCGATGCAGGCGCTGCTGCTGGAATCGCCGATATATCGGGCATCCTTATAAAACGTTCACTTATCATAACTGTAGAGTAGGATCGATGTCACCATTGATCTGTATACCGTTAGCTTGGTTCAAACGATCAACTAGTGACTTTTTTACACCTAGTATTCCACCTTTCCAATAGCCATACACACTTTCGCTGCGCAAATTGATCTCATTCGTCAACCCGCTCACGCCGATACAACTCCCGAGGTAAACGAACTTGTCAACTATTTCCAAAAATGAGCCGCAGTGGGTAAGGGTGGGAGCGGCTTCTAACCAGTCATATAGGAGGACCTTGCATTTGGAAGGGGAAAATATAACTCCGATCTGTGATACAGACACCTCCATGTCATGAACAGCCTGCGATGTCGTCGTCACGTAGCCGATCACCCTGGAGTAACTTGACGCCACCAGGCCCACGTTTCCCAGAGCACTATCTAAGATGTCATCCATAGCGTATTCGAACAAGAAGACTGATGCGAGGCTACTTAAACGCGTTGAGCCACAAACAGAGCTGTTCGCTATCCGGCGCTTCCCCAGGTTACCGATCGGCGAATGCCTACATCGTGGAGGCAATTGTGAATAAGTCTTGTTCCCTCTGCAGGCGAGATGAATAAACAGTCACGGACAATCGGCGGCAGCGTATCAGAGCGTGAGGAGTTCTGGGCTGGTTGCCTGGTTCTTCATTAGATACCGTAAGATTTCGTACGGCTCTGCATCAAAGCCAATGTGACCGGATATAGAGTCACTCACTTCTGTAACGGGAGGTGAGTATCTAATGGAAGCCAGATAAACAACCGGCTTCTGTGTGGACTGCTACCGAATGTTATCAAGACGTATGAGCCACATGGATATCAGCGTTCCCGTACTCCGCCGTTGATCAGACGTTCCAGAAACGTTTTCTAACCTCTGTACCGCTATGGTTGGGCGGTTCGGGCACTCTACATAGTTTGCTACTACTCGAAAATCGTGTTGCCTACTTCTGATGATTCGTGATACACGTTAATCGCTCCGCCATCTTGCGGCTCAGGCCTTTATCGCCTAAGTGTGGGGTCCCCCAAGTCAACGCTCTTCCTCGGCCTGGGCAACCGGAATGCTCTCTGTCCACACAATACATGAACATGAACTTACGTAACTCAGCGACCACGTTACATTCCAAGGCTTGCGTGACGACACGATTTAGGAGGATCCGGACAATCACTTTGATGCAGCGTAACAACTTCATATCTTGGTATCCATTGTCACATTACCGGCTTCTGTTGCCCTAGTACAGTGGTAGCAGAAGAGTATCCTTCAGTTAAGCATACATCTGTTTTTATTATAAGTGCAACCGGTTAAATAGTGCAGCGCACGTTGAATCACGGGTCTGTTGTTCTTCAATTCCTCTGACGGTATCCCGTCGACGACGGCGCTCTTACCATTTCGCAAGTGAGCATGTGCTCTCTGCGTTTCATGCGATCCCGAAGTATCCTCTAATCGGTCTTTCACGTTTTGCTGTTGAAGCCCACTAGCATCTTCCAATCCACCCATGCACCACATGGCACATGTCTATCCTCCAGTTCTTAGGACCTAGATCTCGTCTTTTGATGTTTTCAATGCTTTATTTGCCTGCACATCTATTGTCTTGCATACCTAAGCTGCATGAGTAGCCACAATGTCGGTTCATTTACCGGCATGCATTCTCCCACCAAATCCACTGTGGTTATTCTTTTGCAGTGTTCTCCATCTTTGTTTTATTACACAGCTAACCCCACTCAGGTGTTTACAGAGATTACCTCCGCCATGGTATCCTATGATCCGTTCTCTTTGATCACAGCCTGATAACATCAGTTGTGGTGGGTAGACGTCTGCGCTATCCTACCTCTTTTACCATTGTCGTTGTGACATCTTCCCATGCCGAACTTCAATCCCCATCTCGCTCCATATTTCATCCTTGTTTGGTTCCGTCTAGATAAATATGTTCACTCCCTGTTTCTCTCGTTTTTCCTCAGTATTTGCCATTTACTCGCATCGTCTCTCAGTTGATGGAGAATAGGAGTTGCCCTGAATTGGAGGAATTCCGCTATTTCGACCCGAAACTTTTACGGCGACAAACCTCGTGAGTGGACTTCTCACTGTCTTGTGACTCCATTGATGTAAATGTTGCTCTTTATCATACTTCCAATATATGAACACTACAATTTCCGATTCGTGTTTTTTGGCCAATGCTTTCGTGCTGTGACCTCTGTGCATTCATTCACTCATTTGTTGTCATCGGCTTCAGCATTTTAATTCACTTAGTCAACCATGCCGTCGCGACTTAACTGAACCTTAACATAGTGCTATTGCCTGTGTGTTCCCGCTATCCACTGAGGTACAAACGAGTACCGTTCTCCAAGCGCGCCATAACTACTCATACCACACCGATCAATGGTTGTAGGTCAGACAAAATCGGTTCGAATTGGAGTATCACAACTTGTCTAAGACAGGATATTATCCCTGTCGGTTGGACACTCTATCGAATATTGTGCGGTTACGAAGTTTGTGGCATGGTTACTTCTTCCTTCCGATCGTTTTTTTATCTCTTACTCTGTCACCTAGAATTATTATAACTGTTATTATCGTTATTTGTATTTTTATTGCGTTATTGGCGTGCATCAATACGTTTAAATTCACTGCACTATGATGCAGGGATCGAGATTAACTAGCTGAACTGAGCGCTTTCACTTCGTGTTTTGCGCCCATCTATAGCGATTTATCAATTCATGGTTACACGGCGGTGTCAAGTCAGTATCAGGCGTTGGTGCTTTGCCGATGATCACAAAAGGAGGAGCGGTAATCCTGTATTACCGAAACGACTTACAATGCGAAGCCGTGGAGGATTCAAACTCGCAGTTCCCCGACTCTCTTTGGTTCCGGTTGCAGTTAAAAGGCAGGGACCCTTGCCTTATTGTCTTGGTGTACCGCGCCCCTAACTTAACACCCGAAACCGACTACCACCCAGCGGCTGCTTTAAGATGCAATTTACAACAAATGTACACTCACATTCTTATCATGGGTGATTGCAACGTACATTGTTTAGAAGCCCCTGCCACGATCGGAGAACAATTCAAAACCGATCTACAAGATCTAGTAACTACTGTTCCTCTTTACAACCACATCACTTTGCCCACTCGGTTTAGAACTGGTAACAGACCATCTGTGCTGGATCTTGTGCTTACCAACGAGGAGAATATGATTGATGCGTTGGTTTTAGACTACCCGTTGGGTCGCAGTGATCACGCAGTCATCAGTTTCACTTTGCTATGCAGAATATCTGAATGATAACGATGAGACTGTGCGAACCATCACAAGGTACGACCGACTCGCCCAGCTAGTCAGCGCCACAACATGGTCTTTCCTCGAAGAAGAACCCCCGGAAGTCGCCTGGCTCGAGTTCGTCAAAAAATTCAGTCAGCTGATTGCCGAGGCTTCAGAGACTGAAAGCTTGCAATAAGTGCAAATCAGTTTCGTTCGTTAGGAGCAGAACTCGAAAATAGATGACAGTACGCAACGCAGCATGGCGAGTGTACAGAGAAGCTCCAGCACCAGAAACTTGGGACAACTACGTAGCCCAACATAACCACTGCACTCAACTGTTAAGAGAAGACAAAGCCGCCTATCAGCAGAACTTCGCAACAACCTTCAGTGCTAACCACAAACTGCTGTACAAGCACGTTAATAGCCTACGAAAGGTGAGGCAAGGATTTCCTCCACTCAAGACGGCTGATGGCCCAACAAGAACGTCCATGGAAGCTGCAAACGCGCTGCAGATGCAACACGCCCCCACGTTTCAAAGAGTCTTGCCACCAAGCGATCTACCAAGCTTTGTATTCTGATCGCCAGGACTAACCCACATCAATTTTACCGCAGAGGCTGTATTGCAAAAGCTGACTTCTCTACGTAAACACAGCTCGCCGGGTGTCGACGCCATTCGTCCAGAGGCATTGGGAGCAGCAGCAAGCCAACTGGCAGGACCTTTAGCTCAGTTTTTCCAGCACTGCTTAGACCAGAACCAAGTTCCCGCCATCTGGAAGCTTGGAATAATAAGCCCGATTCACAAAGGTGGAATCAGAACTGATCCCTCTAACTACCGCCCATTAACCCTTCTTCCTATACTCTCCAAGGTCATGGAATCCATAGTTGCCGATGCACTGGTGTGCTATCTGGAAAACTGCAACCTCATCACGCCTGAGCAGCACAGTTTCCCTCGACAATGGTCATGCACAACGAATTTACTGATCGCACGCAGTAATTGAACCGAGTCAGCTGATGCTGGAGAAGGCTTGATGTGACCTGTCTGGATTTGTCCAAGGCTTTCGATCGTCTTGACCATCGGATACTTCTATCCAAGCTCCAGAATTACGGGATCGGCGACCATCTTTCAGGCTGGATTGCCAACTTTCTATTTCAAAGGCAATTAGTGGTCAGAGTTCGGAGCTCTTTAACGGACCTAATACAAGTTGAGTGTGGTGTGCCGCAAGGCTCAGAACTAGGTCCACGTTTGTTTTTGGTGTTTATTAATGATCTTGCACAGACAATCGCTTCAAACTTCCTAATGTTTGCCGACGATATCAAGGTCTGGCGCAGGATCCAGGCGAACACCGACCAACATGTGCTTCAAAGTGACTTAGATACAGTGTATCAATGGTCGACCCAAAACTTATTGCATTTCAATGTCAGTAAATGCAAGGTGCTTTCCATCCGACATCAAAGCAGAGGAGCGGTAATCCTGTATTACCGAAACGACTTACAATGCGAAGCCGTGGAGGATTCAAACTCGCAGTTCCCCGACTCTCTTTGGTTCCGGTTGCAGTTAAAAGGCAGGGACGCTTGCCTTATTGTCTTGGTGTACCGCGCCCCTAACTTAACACCCGAAACCGACTACCACCTAGCGGCTGCTTTAAGATGCAATTTACAACAAATGTACACTCACATTCTTATCATGGGTGATTGCAACGTACATTGTTTAGAAGCCCCTGCCACGATCGGAGAACAATTCAAAACCGATCTACAAGATCTAGTAACTACTGTTCCTCTTTACAACCACATCACTTTGCCCACTCGGTTTAGAACTGGTAACAGACCATCTGTGCTGGATCTTGTGCTTACCAACGAGGAGAATATGATTGATGCGTTGGTTTTAGACTACCCGTTGGGTCGCAGTGATCACGCAGTCATCAGTTTCTGCTATGCAGAATATCTGAATGATAACGATGAGACTGTGCGAACCATCACAAGGTACGACCGACTCGCCCAGCTAGTCAGCGCCACAACATGGTCTTTCCTCGAAGAAGAACCCCCGGAAGTCGCCTGGCTCGAGTTCGTCAAAAAGTTCAGTCAACTGATTGCCGACGCTTCAGAGATTAAAGCTTGCAATAAGTGCAAATCAGTTTCTTTCGTTAGGAGCAGAACTCGAAAATAGATGACAGTACGCAACGCAGCATGGCGAGTGTACAGAGAAGCTCCAGCACCAGAAACTTGGGACAACTACGTAACCCAACATAACCACTGCACTCAACTGTTAAGAGAAGACAAAGCCGCCTATCAGCAGCACATCGCAAAAACCTTCAGTGCTAACCACAAACTGCTGTATAAGCACGTTAATAACCTACTAAAGGTGAGTCAAGGATCTCCTCCACTCAAGACGGCTGATGGCCCGACAAAAACGGCTATGGAAGCTGCAAACGCACTGCAGATGCAACACGCCCCCACGTTTCAAAGAGTCTTGCCACCAAGCGATCTACCAAGCTTTGTATTCTGCTCGCCAGGACTAACCCACATCAATTTTACCGCAGAGGCTGTATTGCAAAAGCTGACTTCTCTACTCAAAAACAGCTCGCCGGGTGTCGACGCCATTCGTCCAGAGGCATTGGGAGCGGCAGCAAGCCAACTGGCAGGACCTTTAGCTCAGTTTTTCCATCGCTGCTTAAACCAGAACCAAGTTCCCGCCATCTGGAAGCTTGGAATAATAAGCCCGATTCACAAAGGTGGAATCAGAACTGATCCCTCTAACTACCGCCCATTAACCATTCTTCCTATACTCTCCAAGATCATGGAATCCATAGTTGCCGATGCACTGGTGTGCTATCTGGAAAACTGCAACCTCATCACTCCTGAGCAGCACAGTTTCCGTCGACAGTGGTCATGCACAACGAATTTACTAATTGCACGCAGTAATTGAACCGAGTCCGCTGACGCTGGCGAAGGCTTGATGTGACCTGTCTGGATTTGTCCAAGGCTTTCGATCGTCTTGACCATCGGATAGTACTCTCCAAGCTCCAGAATTACGGGATCGGCGCCCATCTTTCAGGCTGGATTGCCAACTTTCTACTTCAACGGCAATTAGTGGTCAGAGTTCGGAGCTCTTTAACGGACCTAATACAAGTTGAGTGTGGTGTGCCGCAAGGCTCAGAACTAGGTCCACGTTTGTTTTTGGTGTTTATTAATGACCTTGCACGGGGAATCGCTTCAAACTTCCTAATGTTTGCCGACGATATCAAGATCTGGCGCAGGATCCAGGCGAACACCGACCAACATGTGCTTCAAAGTGACTTAGATACAGTGTACCAATGGTCGACCCAAAACTTATTGCATTTCAACGTCAGTAAATGCAAGGTGCTTTCCATCCGACATCAAAGCAGCTACTCATACCGACTCGGAACGGATGTACTGCAACAATCAACTCTCGAACGTGACTTGGGTGTCCTGGTTCAAGATGACTTGGGTTGCTCCAGGCAATCCGAAAAGGTCTCGAAGACCGGGAACCAACACGTCGGGCTGTTGAGGCGGGCGTTTGGACAAATAAACAGCTCCATATTTCGACAAATGCTCAGTGCGTATGTTCGCCCCCATGTCGAATATGCAATTCAAGCCTGGTATCCATGGCTGAAACACGACGTTAATGCACTGGAGCAGCCACAACGCCGGGCATCTAAGAACGCAATTGGAATGCGCAATCTTTCCTACCAGGAGAGGCTGCAACGACTGGGATTGTTCAGTGGAAGCTATCGCAGGCTACGAGGCGACCTGATTATGGCATACTTGATTCTGCGAGACCCACATCATGTGTGCCGCCCTTTACTGCAACTCAGCAGCAATACAAACCTGAGGGGCCACTCATTAAAACTCGCAGAATAATACAGTCGTTTGGAGTGCCGCAGAAATTTCTTTTCCATTCGTGTCTGTCACCCGTGGAATGCTCTCTCAGAATCGATCGTCTCTGCACCGACACTAACAGTATTTAAAAGACGGTTGGACAATGCACTCATCCACTTACACTTTGTCACTTAGCACTACGTCTCCATCCTACACCCGGAGTTTACCATGGAATTATTTGATGTTAACTGTGGGTGCTGTGAATCTAAGAGGATCGCAGGACTACAGCGGAGCAAACGATAAGTTCTTATTTAAAATATTTAAAATATTAACTATTTTACTATCCTTATTATCATTATTGTTATGTCGATATCCCCACCAACTATCCAGCGGGACTTGTAAAGCAACGCTTCTTAACCCGTATAAATTCATTGTTCATTGTTCATAATACTAATGTGACACTTGTATTTTGTGTCCATTGCTTCGCACCCAGACCTTTTATTTCTCCCGGCCCGGTGAACTCTTCAATGCACTGCTTTCATGTATCACTAGCGTTCGTTGAGCACCCCTCATAGTAAAACAGTGGGTCCCCTTCAGCCATTTCGTTAAGGCAGAGAAGACAGATTGCGAACCTCGCAACTTTTGTCCTCGAACCCGATTTCGTAACCTGTTATCCGTTGAATGTATTTTTCAGTTTTCCGCAAGCTTATAACGATTACCCCATGGTCACCCGTCGAATCTTACTAACAAGCTAAAGCTAGTTTGTTAACCTGCTTCGAAGCGCAAACTACATCGGTCCCTCCAACGTGTGTTCTTCCTCTCCCCCCTCAGTGAGACGCCTCGATTCAAGCAGCCTTTCAACGATGCTTTTGTGTTTGTGATCGGTGGTGGCTCTTACGTTGAGTACCAGGACCTCCTTGACTGGTCTCGCGCTACTACAGGCGGCGGAACTGTCCCCGGTGAGGCAACATCATCCAGTTCTGGCAACGCGACTGTAATGAGCAACCTACCTGTGAATGGCACGAATGCTCTAGATGTTTCAGCTACAGCTCATTCGTCCACACCGGGGACGAACGTAAAACGAGTTGTCTACGGTTGCACTGAGCTTCTCAGTCCAAAGGAGTTCTTGTCACAAGTGAGCTGCCTTCGATAGAGTTCCGATTATTGTTTTTTGCGCGTCGATCAGTGGCCTTTTTCACTCTCATATATACCATTTTCACTTTAAACTGGACATTTTTCAAACCAAACTGGACATTTTGCAAACCAAAGTGGACATTTTGCAAACCAAACTGGACATTTTGCAAACCAAACTGGACATTTTGCAAACCACATTGGACATTTTGCAAACCAAACTGGACATTTTGCAAAACAAATTGGACACGTTGCAATCTAAGCAGCAACTGGCCAATTTGTTGGTAAGAAACGAGCAGTAAGACTGCTGAATGATGTTCAGCATACATTGTGATGACGCTAGTACACCGGCATTGTGTAAGCCGCGGGCTACACTGTAAAACATTTGCTTGATCGTGAGCAGCGACCGAAGTTCTGAACTACGCTCCCCTCTCCCCATTGACATTCGCCTAGTTGGTGTGCAGTGCCCATACGCATCAACCTGTGTTGGTGTGTGACAATTGGAAAATCGGACTTCCGAATCGTAAGTGTGTATCAATCATTTTGTGAGTGGATTGCGATGCGCAATCTCAATGTGCACCGTTATTCTCATTAGAGAGAACCTTGTCCGATTCGGTCAATGGGAGCATGTCGGATGAAGCAGGTAGGCGGTGTCCCAGCTTCGCCCGTCTCTCTATTAGCTTTCGCAGCTGCCACGTTATTGTATCAGCGTAGGCTGTAATGACCCCCAGCAAAACCAGTCTAGATTTATAGCCTATTGTTGCAACATATCAACTACTGAGGAGTGGGCCGATTACACGATGTTCAGGCCACATTGTGGTCACGATAATGTAACCGAAATGCGTACGTAGCGGGTGATTGTGTAAGCCCTTCTCTTGACATGAGTGCCGTTCGCCTCGGTCAAAATCGGTGACCTAGTTTCCCCTACACCCCCCCCCATAGGAATTCGTGTGTTTTGTCTGTGTGTGTGGACCGACCTATGCAGCGGTACCACTATTGGAGCAGAGCATACGATAATGGTTCCACTCAACCCAACTTAGCTTTATTAGCTCCGTGCCGCGCGAAACGACCAAAATGAGTGACGAACCACAGGAGAGCTGGTGTCCGACGCGACGGCACTGCAGGCGAACATCATTTGCGCAAAGAGAAATTCTCACAAAACTTGTGCTGATCGACGGCAAAACTACTCGGGAAACCGCTGAAGTCGCCGGTGTTAACGCGAGTACGGCAAGGAACATCATTAATGCCTACAAGCGAGAAGGCCCAAATACACAGCGCATCTGCGGTGGAAACAATAGGGAGAAGCTGACTCCCAATGTATTGCAGCGTGTCGAAGAAGCGGTTGAACTGCACTCTGAGGACACGTTGATGCAGCTGCAGATGCGCTTGAGAGAGAGTGGAATAAACCTATCAGTATCCTCTGTCTCCAACACCCTCAGAAGACTAAAGATAAATCTCAAAAAGTGTGATTACGAGCTCGACCGAGTCAACGGTGCCACGACAATCGCTAGCCGACAGGCGTACGCTCTCGAATTCTCGGTGACCGTCCTGCTCTTACACGCTAAGCCAGCTGTTAATATTGAAAACGCACATTTTGAAATTGAAATGGTGTATTAACAGAAGATAAGGCAGTAACCATAGCAAAGATCAGTTGACGAAGGGTTGTCCGGCTGTCGCTTTCGTCAGGTTCATCATTGTATTGAGAAGGCAGTTCATGCAGTCCTGCTGCGTTACCATCCCAACGCTGTCCTGAATGACCGTGCTCAGCGTCTGCTCAGGTGTGGGGATAATAAGCTGGCGTCTCGCCGACGCTTTCACCTTTGAAAAGACGTGTTCTACCGGGTTTAGCATGTACGAGTAGGGCGGCAAGAACTGCAGGTGATAAGACGAACCAAGAATCCTCCTTAGCTCATCAGGCATATGGATCCTGGCATTGTCCATGATCAGCCACGCGCCGTTCATCTCCACTATGCAGCTTATACGCGCCACCAGTTCCTCGACGAACGCTGAGAACTTCGCACCATTGCAGGTGCCATCGTTAATGATCTTTGAATGGATGACGCCTTGGTTATTCATTGCAACAATCAGGATTACCATGCGACCTCTGACTGTGGGTAACACGACGTTCGCGCGCGTCCCTCTTCTTGAGTGAGCCTGAGTTCGCCTCAGATGAAGGTTGAAACCACTCTCATCTATGAAGATGCATTTCTCTTTGTTAGAAGGTGCATGTGCCGAGAACTCGAGAGCGTACGCCTGTCGGCTAGCGATTGTCGTGGCACCGTTGACTCGGTCGAGCTCGTAATGACACTTTTTGAGATTTATCTTTAGTCTTCTGAGGGTGTTGGAGACAGAGGATACTGATAGGTTTATCCCATCCTCTCTCAGGCGCATCTGCAGCAGCATCAACGTGTCCTCAGAGTGCCGTTCAACCGCTTCTTCGACACGCTGCAATACATTGGGAGTCGGCTTCTCCCTATTGTTTCCACCGCAGATGCGCTGTGTATTTGAGCCTTCTCGCTTGTAGGCATTAATGATGTTCCTTGCCGTACTCGCGTTAACACCGGCGACTTCAGCGGTTTCCCGAGTAGTTTTGCCGTCGATCAGCACAAGTTTTGTGAGAATTTCTCTTTGCGCGAATGATGTTCGCCTGCAGTGCCGTCGCGTCGGACACCAGCTCTCCTGTTGTTCGTCACTCATTTTGGTCGTTTCGTGCGGCACGGAGCTAATAAAGCTAAGTTGGGTTGAGTGGAACCATTATCGTATGCTCGACTCCAATAGTGGTACCGCTGCATAGGTCGGTCCACACACACAGACAAAACACACGAATTCCTATGGGGGGGGGTGTAGGGGAAACTAGGTCACCGATTTTGACCGAGGCGAACGGCACTCATGTCAAGAGAAGGGCTTACACAATCACCCGCTACGTACGCATTTCGGTTACATTATCGTGACCACAATGTGGCCTGAACATCGTGTAATCGGCCCACTCCTCAGTAGTTGATATGTTGCAACAATAGGCTATAAATCTAGACTGGTTTTGCTGGGGGTCATTACAGCCTACGCTGATACAATAACGTGGCAGCTGCGAAAGCTAATAGAGAGACGGGCGAAGCTGGGACACCGCCTACCTGCTTCATCCGACATGCTCCCATTGACCGAATCGGACAAGGTTCTCTCTAATGAGAATAACGGTGCACATTGAGATTGCGCATCGCAATCCACTCACAAAATGATTGATACACACTTACGATTCGGAAGTCCGATTTTCCAATTGTCACACACCAACACAGGTTGATGCGTATGGGCACTGCACACCAACTAGGCGAATGTCAATGGGGAGAGGGGAGCGTAGTTCAGAACTTCGGTCGCTGCTCACGATCAAGCAAATGTTTTACAGTGTAGCCCGCGGCTTACACAATGCCGGTGTATTAGCGTCATCACAATGTATATGCTGAACATCATTCAGCAGTCTTACTGCTCGTTTCTTACCAACAAATTGGCCAGTTGCTGCTTAGATTGCAACGTGTCCAATTTGTTTTGCAAAATGTCCAGTTTGGTTTGCAAAATGTCCAATGTGGTTTGCAAAATGTCCACTTTGGTCTGCAAAATGTCCAGTTTGATTTGCAAAATGTCCAGTTTGGTTTGAAAAATGTCCAGTTTAAAGTGAAAATGGTATATAATACGCGAATTGGGCGTTCATGATGTTTTTTCATCAAAAGATTATGCTGACGTGGAGTGATGTTTTTCGTTCCTCTGTGATCCATTGAGCGGCGCTAGGTGTCACTGTTCATAAGTTTCAGAACCTCTCATACCAGGCCATTCAATGGTTATTGATCGCACAGACTCAATTCAGTTGGAGGAGAAGCAGCTAACTCCCTTCCCACAACTCTCACTCATGGGAAAAACATTTTCCAAGGTCGAGGGTCTCGGTGTTGCTTTCTCTCTCGTCACTGCACTCCACGACGCGTTTCGTCCTTGTTTGAACTCATTAAGTAGTGATGGCTTGAGCTCGGAGTGGAACTTGGCACATAGTGGTTGGCGGCCATCGCCGTGATCACTAAGCCATTGAGCTCTGCGTGCAACGCTTGACACAAAGCGGGTCCTCTAAAACTCAGCAATCAACATTTTCGGCGTTTTAAGTTGACTTACGTGGGCTTGGAGCACCTTACTGCCTGTTAACTCATGATAGGAGAACGCGACCGTTGCTTTGCTACTGCCCTTGTCCAACAGAACCAAGTTGTAGTTACTCATAGGTCCTTGTCGGTTTTGTCATCCAATATGATCGAAATCTCCTTTTGCGATTCTGTGTTCACTCACCAAAGGTGGATTCGACTGTTGATCTAAAGGTTCACAAAGTAGTTCTCCAGGATGACTTCTATGTGCTCCTTAGCTTTTTGAGTCAGAATTGGATCAGAAGCTACAGACGAGAGTTTTCGAACCGAACCTATCTGGCGAAAGGTAATTGAACATCATCTATCTACAGACTTTGCCGTACATCTTTTCTCTTTATACGACTTCCCTTAGATTACATGATAGGGAGTTGCCCCTAACTTTACTACTCATGCTTGTTTTTACTTTTAATTCGTCCCACATTTTGTTGTTTGTTTTTTACTCGGTGTTCTATGTCATATGAATCAACAATCAACACTGCTGGAGGTCTGTCGTTCCGCTGTCCCGCATCAGTGCCTACGATAACTTGGTCCACCCTGTGCCGGGCCAAACTTTAACCGTGCGTCTGACCTATATGACTATCGCCAAGTTTATGAGCCTGTCGGCATCCGCTAGGCGCCTCACACTTCGCTCATTGTCCACCGGCTTCACTTATATTGAACTAACCTAATTCATCGAGTACAATTACAGGAAAATTTTAGCGTGCTTGAAGTTTTGCGACCGAAGCTCAGTATTTGTCGGGAAAAAGTATTCTATGCTCACTTCTGCTCTTTTATTCTTACGAATGCTAACTGGCATCTTATGAGATAGACGACTTGTTGTATCAGATTCTTTGACGTCAGCACCATTTGTTTTTGTAATGTGTGTGATCATCTATCCATTGCTTATTGCCAGTTATTTTTGTCCCTTATTGGTAATAATGTTGGGCCAGGAGCCAGCTTGTCACTAATAGTTGTGTTGTTACCTTTTGACACTGTCCCAAATATTGTTCCACTTGTTTGACGTAGCACGTGTCTGCTGCTTCCTACTCTGGCTCGTCTTCATTTAGTGTGCTCGTTTATTGATCTGCAGATATATCCGTATGCTTCCTAACTCTGAACATCTGCGAGCTTTTTGTTGCAACTCCACTCCGCTTTATCCGCATGAACCACACAACTGTTTGTTAGTACACCGATAGTGGTTGGTGCTCATCAGATGACCGAAATTTCCGCGCTGTTTCTGTAATCGTATCCGCTGCATGCGAAGACTTCACACAGACATTTCACTGCCACTCAATCACCAGGGGTTCCATGTAAACTGAGCTACTGAGCTCTCGCGCACCAACGCTGGCTCGATTCGGTGGCACGTGAATTACAGACCATAAACCCTGAGCCAACGTTTCCGCAAAAACAACCGCTCTGTTTTAACTAACTGTGATACATTTTCTTTATTTCTCGTATATTTCAAGAGTTATCATAACTATCTACATTAGGGGTAATCATCACTCTGCCTAGCCAGATGACGAGCGTTCGGACACAAAAGCTACCCCTTCTATCCTGCTTCGTACACCTGGTGTTGTTCTTAGGGCAGGCACTCTGTCGGCTTTGCGTTTACGAAAACACCGGTTGCTCCATCCAGAAAGGCCTACTCGGTAACAAGTGCGCTTCGGTGTATAGACCTGAACGTCACAATCATTTCACACCACATATACTTCAAAATGACTCCTCCAAATCCGTCAAGTGTTTCTCAACGGCTCTTGGTAGTTTAAGGTTGGAGGTTTCGGTTAGCATTCTAATGGTTCCGGCTTCGATTTTTTCTATACCTTATGAGGTTCGAAACCGGTCATAGCGTGCAGTGTTACTTGGTGGGCAACATCCGTTATTTATCTACTGTCCCAATGATAATAAATAAATAAATGTTTTATTCTCAACAGTGCGGGACGCGCCTGCATAGGCATAATCAGGGTGATACAACAAGGACCAGTAAATGTAAAAGCGGAACAAGTTTATAAGTAACATATGCATCCATGTGTTAAGAATGCATGAATGCATGCAGTTGAAAATGAGTGAGGTTTTGTTTCTTGAATTTCTTAATGTGACGCCGTATTTGTGATTGATTGTGGCCAGGCTTGGGAATAAGTGAAACGAAATCTTTGTATTAGATAGCCCACGTCCGTGGATTGGGCTAGCTGATTCTGATACGGAAGAGGCAGTGACTTTAATAAGTGGTGTCTCATCCGCCACGTCACAGTATTGGTAACTAGACATTTGTGGCATTTTATAGAGAACGCTTGTCAAGCGAAAAACTCCCCGTGTCCTGGTACATTGCCGCCGAACCATTCGCTGGGACGAGGTAAACCCGATCACCCAGTTGGCACCACGGTGAGGTTGGTCGGCTAGCCAACAGAGGTTCAATTAAATGCGAATCGCGCTCCACACTGAGATTGCGTGTCGCAGCCCATCCACACAACGTGTACTCCAAAAGCATTCACAATATCAATCACTAACCGTTGTGCCAAGCGTTGCCCGTCGCGACCCGGTGGCTCAAGGGTAGCGGTCACGACTAACATCCCATTGGTCCCAGGTTCCATGCTTGCTAACTCTGTCTGATGAGTTCAAATCAGATCGAAACGCGTGGTGGTTGTGCAGCGTTTTTCGGTGGACAACACCCAAATTCCATCTGCTCCGCCTACGGTCCCAATGATCGCAGTGACCAAGATTCACTTCATTGCGAATCGCAGTCCACATTAAGATTGCGTCTCGCAATCCATCCACACAACGTGTACTTCAAATTGACCCCTCTGATATGTTGGGCCTGCTTTATTTCCGACTATTATTCCACTCTTGCGGATCTAGTTACTCATGTGTAACATTACTACACGCTCGAATTAGTCTTTCGCCGTTATCTTCTTTGATGATTGGTGACCGGTTTGTTTACCACTCTGTTTCAGCTAACCGCACTTGGAAAGGAACTCTGCTGATGAATCCTCCTCCCTCTCTGCGCTTCCTGCACTGAACCATCGAATAAAGTTCTCCCTATTTTGACCATATTTTCTCAGTCTCCTTATCTGTTCTTTGCTGAACTGATTTTGTTTTCTCTTATCCCATTATGATTGTTTTCAATGAAACGTGCTGTGCCTGTTTTATTCCATTGGACACGATGGGGAGCTTGTCCTTGAGCTTTTTGCCTCTGCGGTTGCATCTCTTCATACAGTGTAATATAAATCCCTTCGGCACTTTCGCCGTTTGTCGTCTGGTACTCGCGTCATGTCCGCATTGAGAACTTGCTCACAAACCCAAAAATGGCGTAGTGTTTTGAACTCTCAGTATCGTTTCTAAGTGTAGCTACGCTTCAACCATGCTAAAAAGACCTTACTTATCGACTGGAAAGTTATCGCGATTTCTACTTGTTCCACTTTTGATTCTTATCATCCTCCGTGTGGTTTATGCGTTCATATATATATATATATATATATATATATATATATATATATATATATATATATGGCACTGATATTGTGCCGTAGGAATCATGGCTGAATAGGAAAATAGTATAAATAATAAGAAGATAACAACAATACCAAAAGCTTCTTTTGTCCAGTTTACCACTCACTGTTTTTGAAATTTTTTCAGTTTTTCTTTAGGAGGAGGAAGGAGGGACACCGCAACACACCGATACACACGTCGGTCATTGACATGGACCTTGAGCCATGGCTTCCAAGGTCTTCAACCAGCAAGTATCCGCCTCTCTCGAACCCCAACTAGGTGGTCGACAACAACCGGCCGAGACCAACTGTTTCGTTGGTTTTTCATGCGGCTTCTCCAAGTGGCAGGCTGTCCACCAGACCGTCTCTTCCAGCCCTGTCCAGCAACCGAAAACAACGCACGAAGGGGGTAACGCTGGACAGGCATGCGCAATACGTGTCCCAACCGCCGCAGTTGTTGCAGTGAGACGAGCTCCTGGAGCGAGTGGCTTCCTCGTCTCAAGACATGTTGTCTAACTTCCACATTGCTTACGTGGTGCCGCCACGGCAATGGGCCGCAGACAGCAAGGCTCGAAGACGGATAGCCTGCGCAAGTCATCTTTACGAATGGGCCATGTCTCTCATGCGTACAACAATACAGCACGAACAATTGCACAATAGATCCGCCATTTGCTGGAGAGACGAATGTCGAGGCGACGCCACAAGTGCCTCAGCCTAGAAAAAGCATGGCATGCTCTCGAGGTACGCATCGAAATCTCGTCTCCAACAGTCCCGCTAGCAGTGATGCAACTTCCCAAGTAAACAAAGCTCTCCACAACCTCTAGTGTTTCACCACCAAGAGTGAGTGCAAGCAGAGGCGCCTGCCAGTCTTGGAAGAGAGCCTTGCATGCGGATAGCGAAAAGTACATACCATCCTTTGATGCTTCAGTCGCCAGGCGGTTTAGTGGTATTCCACTTTGTCTATTGTCGGTATCCTTGACTACTGGCGTTGTTGTCGTTGCTTTATTTCGCCGACTTAATCACTCCATTAGTTGAATCACATTCTCCCGGACTGGCGTTTACCCATCAATCTAAGTTTATCGTACAGTCTATTCGGAATCGTCTGTTTAAGACAGTGTGTATGCAAAGCTTATAATTTGCTGTTTTATTTCAACACAGCGCTATTAGCCTACTACGATCCAACTGCTTATACAGCATTGATCGAACCTGTACATCTTGTTTATAAGCGAATGTAGATTCTTGCAACGCTAACTTGAGAATGTAATTTAAACCCTACTACGGACCCTTAGAATCCGCTACCCCATTGCGTCTTCGAACGTCGCGTGGATTGATTAATTCGCCACTCCGCTCTCACGTATGTATCTTAGTTCTCTGTCCGCTCTTCGCTCCATCATCTGCCATGCGATTTTCTATTTAGGTACATTTCCGCAATTTCTGTTGTCCGTGACAAATAGTTGATTCACACCAGGAGCCTGCGATCATTCTAGCGAATGCGATCGCTTTGCTAAGATCATCTGTTAAACGCACGGTAATCTACTTCGTGACGTATCATTTACCGCGTCGAAATATTTGTTCGTCGGATTCGTGTTCGAGCACAATTCCAACCGCATCGGAACACTCGATTCGATCTGAGCTATCGTTATGCTGTGTTGATCATCTGCTCGATTTCGTAATCTGCATGTGGAGTACAAAAGTCTGACAATCACTCGATGAGCTCTCACGAAGGACGTGGATGGTGTCCGACATCTGACACTTGTTTCCTAGTGTGTTGGGCTTGCACTTAGTCTCGAGGTTGCGAAATCCAACTTGGCTTAGTCACTGCAATTTGTGTTGTTTATGATTCCTCCCTATACTGTCCAACCTGCCATGGGGGCCACTTTAGTCGGTCCCCAACGTTTTCTTCTATGAGTAGTGTCCCTATGCACGAACCTGTCCATTGGGACCACCTGTCCATGGGGACCACTTGTCCCAAGGGGACTACTTTTTGTCGGGCCCTTGAGTAGTCACTTTAGACAGGTATGATTTCCCGAACCGCGCTACCCAGTTTAGCATTGCTCTTCATCACCGGGTCATTTTGAATCGACTACTTATGTTAACCAAGCAAACATCTTATTGGCCGATGTATGTACACTATGGCGGGAACACAGTGAGCACTTCTGCGAGCTATTGCTAAACGCCACTGTGCGCTCTGCTTTCTTGTCTCCCCTTAGTTGCTGCGGCATTTGGTACATATCGCAAACATGTTCCCATTGTGGGGACCATCGTCAAACATATCGTGGTGACGACATTCTGATCTATCTTTCACGGAAATTCATGGTCTTTCACTGGGCTATCATCTTCACTTCTATGTTCGTTTTTTATTCTTACTTTCACCGATCAAACTTGTCTAGTCCATGGGACATGAATTATGCCTACCGGAATAATTCGCTGTTGTTCCCTCGACATGGATTTGGACGATTTTTCTAGATGGCTTTCCATGTGGTAACTGAGCAAAAGCTGCTTGGACGTTACTGAATTTGTAATTTTTCAGCACGCATTGTGTGGATGGATTGCGACGCGCAATCTCCCTGTTTCCTGCGACTCGCGTTGTGGTCAGTTCCGTCACTGGGACTGTGACTGAAGCAGAAATCTGTTAGATGTTGCTTCGGTTACGATCCCAGTGATCGAATTGATCAAGTTTCACTTCAATGTGAATCGCGATATATATAGCTATGACACTTGACTATTATACAATTGGCAGAATGCCACAACACATGAGTAACAACAACAAAAATGGGGGGAAACAGACAAGGGAAGGGTTAAGTGGGTTTATGTGTTTTGTGGGCAAAGTGCTTCCTGGTTGCCCAGGCTGATGAAAAGAGTTGGCTTAAGGGACCTCACCCCGCACATTTGGTCTTAAAGACCTGGCCCGCAAGGCAGCGGAGCGATTAACACGTGTCGCTGGAACCTCAAACTAACCGTGAATACGAAGACGGTTGAAAGCCTGGTAGCTCCTTCGCCTTCTTTGTGTTTGGCTGCAGTCTACACAGAAGCCGGTGGCCCTCCACTGGGTACTCATCTCTGGTTACAGAAGTGAGTGGTCAGTGACCCTATAGCCGGTCACATTGGCTTTGACACAGCGTTGTACGAACTTTTGTGATATTTGATAGGGAGCCGGGTGACCAGCCCAGAATTCCCCACGCTCTGAGTCACTGCCACTGGTTGTCGCGATTGCTTATTCATCTCGACTCCAGAGGGAACGAGACTTATTCGCAGTTGCCTCCACAGGGAAGGCGTTCCCCATCCCACACTCTGGAGTCGCGCCCGATAACGTACAACTCCGCTACGGAATCGTGATACATATTTCAATTGCATGTCTTAATCGATTTACACAACGCGTGCTTCAAAATCGCTCCTCCAATCAGTCATTAACTGTTGTGACAAGCGTTGCCCGCCGTTTCTCTGTGGCTTAGCGGTAAATGTTTCCGCCTACGTCCCTAACGCCCCGAATTCGAATCGCAGCTTTGCTATATCTTGAGAGTGCAGAAGCATGCAAAGCGGTCGTGTTGCAAGCAAGCTCTACACTTAAAATCTGTGTTTGAAGGTCACTGTGGGTTCACTCCGAGGCACCCGTTGTGTGAACAAGGTTACTGCATTGTATCTTAGCTTTGTAGTGAGTCGCATTTAGCTCGGTCGTTGCGACCGACCGATATCGTACTTGCTTGCACTGGTCAGGTAGCGATAGCATACTCGCGACTCGAACCCTGGATGTAGGAGCTACTAACTGAATCCCTAATCCCCACACAATGCAGCGTTTATCAGCTTGAAATTCCCTTTTTATCTTCTCTGCTTGTGCAGAAATCTTCAGTAAACCACAGATATGCTTCGTTTGGTGTTTTTCTCATTGTCCCTTTAATGGCCTTACTCTCCTGTAGGCTCTAATCTGCCTACGTCTTCAAAAGTCCGTTTGATGACTGACTCTTCAGAACTTTGCACGTAGCAGTATTTGCAGTTCGCCAAGTTCCCAATCTTTTCAACGACTTTCACTTGCCGCTCCAGGTCGGGATCCTGCACCCTCCTTAGACTTGAGTACTTATGAGCTAAAGACGAGTTATATCCCCAAACATTTACTAGAAAAGAGGATTACTACTAAACAACTACGCTCTAACTAGACGTACACTGTCAGTTTTGTTTGAACCAGGAGTTGAACCATTCACTTTCGCAGCGCGACCTAAGCTGTTGTACTTTAACACCATCCGCATTCGCTTACGCAGTACAGTTCATGGGATATTTGGGAGCAATCTCCGGATTGATCTTTTGTTTGCCGTAACCAAACAGTAACCTCGTTTTCTTTGCAATCCGGAGCTGTTCAGAAACGTCTCAGCCCTCAACCTACAGAAGGGCAATATTTGTCCCATTTGCGATGGAGTTTTCTCACTGCCATTTCGGAAGGCCAACCGTGAAATCCACTCTATGCGGTACGCTCATTTATGGAAAAGTTATCGGTTTCTATACCGACAAGTGATGACGTTTGGGGACTCGCTTTGTCATTCCAAATGTTATGAAGTTGCTAGACTTTCAGCAATTTCCGGATGGTACAAATGATCTCTGATTCATTGTAGTAGAAACACTGCTTAACAAACACTAAGCACACACCAACAGGTTCCTCTGTTCAGATGGCCACATTAATTGACAATTTAATCAGTTTACTCTGTAGGCGCAGCTCACCATGAGGTATGTACGTGTTTTCCTTGCGCCTCTTTAGTTTGCTTCCGATCCATGTGAAACTCTTAACTCACAAGGTTCTCCATTTAGAAAACATACCGTCATGACTTCTTCTGGTGGGGTCGTTCACACAAAATTCAAATGTTCTGAACACACGTTATACCACGCACCAGGCTCCGATGGCTGGGCCAGGTGTTGCGCATGCCAACCCACCGACTCCCGCGACGTGCG